ATTTTCCCTGCCCCTCTGCCAGGGCAATGCCCTGGGACAGTTCTTCTGTGAAATCCCCCAGATCCTCAAGCTCTCCTGCTCACACTCCTACCTCAGGGAAGTTGGGCTTCTTGTGTTTACTCTCTTTTTAGCATTTGGCTGTTTTGTTTTCATGGTGGTGTCCTATGTGCAGATCTTCAGGGCCGTGCTGAGGATCCCCTCTCAGCAGGGAAGGCACAAAGCCTTTTCCACCTGCCTCCCTCACCTGGCCGTGGTCTCACTCTTTGTCACCACCATCCTATTTGCCTACCTGAAGCCTCTTTCCATTTCCTCCCCATCCCTGGACCTGGTGGTGGCAGTTCTGTACTCAGTGGTGCTTCCAGCAGTGAACCCCCTCATCTACAGCTTGAGGAACCAGGAGCTCAAGGACACCCTCAGGAAAGTGATTTGATCATTGTTCAAGAGAGAGATTTAAAGCCTCTTTCCAGAAGTGACTCCACTTTATGTCATTGCACTGTTTGTTTGTTTTTGTTTTTTGCTTTTTTTGGTATTCTGTTCTGTTTAGGTTTTTGGTTGTGTTTTGTTTTTATATGATTATTTTATATTTATTTATTTTTAGTTTATTTATCACTACTGCTGTTGTTATTATCATCCATGGTTTTGTTCCTGCAAAGATGTTTGCACTTGTGTCGCTACAGCTGAGACACGAACCTGCTTTGTTTCCTCTTGATCCATTATAAAAGTTTCTAACACTTACTCTGAGTCCTTGGCTGTCCAGGAACCCAAATTAGCTGCTCTGCATGGCATCCTGTCCCCCAGCCATGTCACTTGCACTCTTTATGTCATTGATACAGATATTAAAGAGGACTGGTCCCAGTACGGACCCCTGAGGGACACTTGTCACCATCTCCATCTGGACACTGAGCCATTCACCACTGCCCTCTGGGTCTGACCAGCTAACCCATTCCTCATCCACTGAGCAGCCCACACATCAAATCCTTCTCTCTCCAGTTCAGAGAGAAGGATGTTTTGAGGGACCACGTCAAGGGCCTCACACAAGCCCAGGGAGGTGACATCCATGGCTCTTCCCTTCCCAATGATGCAGTCGCTCTGCTGCCCTATTTGCAACTGGCCTTAGAACTTTGAGCACACACCACTGGCTCGTGGGACACTCCTTTAATGCCCAGGCCCTTCTTCTCAGGGTCACTCCTGAGCTGCTCAGCTCTCAGCCAGCCCTCATGCTGGGGATGATTCTGCCCCTGGCAGAAGGACTGACTGCTTCTCTCTGTAAAATTTGGTGAGGTTTCTTCTGACTGAATCCCAGA